ATATAAAATTTTCAGTTTTCATTTTAGCTTTAGTAAATTTGTTTTGTGCTTTTGCCATTTTTTTATAAGTGTAGCTTTAATTTATTTTCCATTGATCTTAATTTAATTTAATTTTATTTTATTTCAGTTTTAGTTTTATTCATTTTAGTATTTCAGCTTAAACTTATTTATTTTTTCTAATTTTTTAAAAAGTTTTTCATCTAATGTTGTTACTTTATTTCAGTCTTTATTTCAATTAATGAAAATAATTGTAATAGTTTTAGTCATCATTAACAATGCACTGGTCTTTTTTATTAGTTTAGTTTTATATTTAAATAAATCAATATTGTTTTTATTAAATTTGACATTTTTAGTTTTAGTTTATTTAGTTTAAATTATTTTTCAGTTATTTTAATGCTTTTTTCTCTATATATTTAAAATTGTATTTCAGCTTTGTGCAGAAGTCAGAGAGGGACTAAAGGGTTAAAGAGCTGCAAACACTGCACGCATCTCCAATGGAGCGGACAAAAATGTTAAAAGAACAGTCCTTTTATATAGAATGCAGAAAGGTTATTTTGTATATAAATAAATAAAATAATAATAATAGATGTAAGCAATTTATTTACTTTCATTTTATTATTATTTTGTTTCATCTCAGTTAATATGAGCTTATTAAAGCTGCATGCATAATTATTATAAAATAAATGCTGTAGAAATGCTTGCTTTTTTTCATTTTCATTTTTTATTTTACAATTTTTATTATTTTTTATTAAAAATGTTTTGTCAGTTTCCATTTTCATTTTAGCTTTGGTAGTTTTTGTTATGTGCTTTTCTCAATTTGTATGATGTTAAAATGCTGCAAATACTTCATGCATTTCCTCTGAAATGGTCAAAATGTTAATAGACCAGCCTTGTTCGTGTAGAATACAGAAAGATAATTTTTTAATACATTTAATAAAATAGTAATACAAATAAAAGTAGTTTATTTACTTTCATTTGACTGTTGAAAATGTTATTTCTTTATCTCAATTAATATGAGCTCATTAAAGCTGCATGCAAAATTATTACAAAATAAAAAAATAAAAAAATATTTTTAATTTGTACTTATTAGTTATGATTTTTTAATTTAATTTCCCTTTTCAGTTTTAATTTTAGATTTAGTAATTTTTTTAATGTGCTTTTTGCTGCAAATACTGCATGCATCTCCTCTGAAATAGAAAAAATGTTAATTGAATGGCCTTGTTTATATAGAATGCAGAATTTTTTTAATTTAGTTAAATTTAATTTGGCTCTCATTTGTTCACTTTGCTTGACATAAAAATCAAGAAATGAGCCAGATTGTGTCATGCAAGATATCTGGAGAAAAACACCATCTAATTGACGTTTGAGACTGTCTGACGATGTTAATTGACAGGCTTGAGTCATGAGTTTAACAGGAGGCAGCGGCGTGTGAATGTGAGCTTGCTCATTATAGAGTTCGTTTTGGAGCGGCTCGTTACAGCAAGAGTGTTTAATCCCATCAGAGAGCGCTGGCCGTCCGAGGAGATGCTGTAATGCTGTCCAGGAAAGAGCAAACCCAACCACCACAAACTTTACAAATATATAAACATTACTAAAATGCACTGGGTCTCTGTGTGAAGCTTTTGAGTTATTTATATGATCATCTCATACCAGTTTGTTTGTTTTTCTTTATTTTTATGTTGTTGTTTATCTGTTGAGCTAAGCATGTTAATGGCTTATAATTTGATTGCCAAATAAAGCATGAAAATGTCTGACACGTAACTCCATTTTGTTTTTTTATCAAAATCATTTTAGCTCAGATGTACTTGAATGTGTATGAAAAGTTTTTTTTTTATCACTAGTTGATACAGAGTATGACAGATTAATTGATTTTTTTTTTAGCATTTTATTATTTATTTATTTATAATAATAATAATAATAATATCTGCTATTATTAATAATAAATATTATTATGATTTATTATTGTCATTTTAAATTTTTTAAATTCCAAAATGTATCAAAAGTACAGATATTGCATATGTAGTCTCTCGTATAGTCCTTAATATGTTAATATGAGCTCATTAAAGCTGCATGTATAATTATGACAAATTAAATTATGTTCAAAATAAATTCAGATAGTGATGATTTTATGGAAGTTTATGGAACTTATTATAACAGCGTTTTAGGATTAGTAACACTAAATAGAATTGTGTAAGTGTTGCTTCTCTATGAAAAACTTTAACTTTAATCTGCAATCGGTCAGAGCGATGTTTTTTTGTTTTTTTTGTCTATTAGTTAACTGTATTCCCTTGGTTGAATTATTTATTATAAAAGAGATGCTGTTCAAAATAACTTAAGGTGGAGTTTAGTATGTCACACTGATATCATGTCCACTGATTTTGTGTCTGTGTTTTTCAGACGGCCCGCTGGAGCTCCCCGTCTTGCAGCTCATCCCGACCCAGCGGCAGCTGGTGTTTCGCGGGGACCGTCTGCCGCTTCAGTGCACCGCCTCGTACCTCGACCCATCTGTCAGACTGTCCTGGAGCCACGAGCAGCGTCCCGTCCACACGCTGGAGGACAGAGGGCTGTTCGTGGAGGACAGCATCATTCACGACTGCTGCCTCATTACCAGGTGAGAGGGACATGATTGTATTCTAGATGCAGCATTGCCACTATCCTTAGCCTGTTTTTGCTAAACCGTGGCAAATTAAATGCTGCGCGACAAACTGTAGTGGTGTTTCTAAATGGGTTGCTGCATAAAAAATCAGCCCAGTTGTGTCACAACAAACAGCGACTTTGCAATGCTGTCATTGTCGTTGAATGAATCGGTTGAGTGAATGAATCAATGACTCACTCGCTTGTTTTGTGAAAGAATCAGTCAGTGTTTGAATGAATCAGTTGAGTGAATGAATCTACAATACTGAATGAATCCTGAATTAATCGTAAAGAAAGTCGCTTATTTTGTTCCTGAATGAACCATGCTGAATTTGAACTTACGTACAACTCTTACAATTTGTACCATATCCCATTCCACAAAAGTCTTCAATTCATGAAGTTATGATGTTAAATGTTGCATTGCTTCAAAACGTGAACATCTTCCGTAGTATTTTTGTTTTGTTTTCCAATACAAATATCTAAACATCCTTAAATCAAGATACATTCACTTGAGATGCAAACTGAACATGTGAATTCTGAGAACATGAACAAAATGAAGTTCTGCTTAAAACAAGAACAAAAATCTGTCAATGGAGATTGAAAACTTGTTTTCCCTTTGAATTATGTGTTTCTTTTTTTTTGAGCCCACTGGCAGATCTCACCTCATTTTGATACATTTCTCATAAAACAAGGCTTCTTATTTGATGTCATTTTTCTTATCAAGGAAATATATTTGAAAACCATGGATTTGGCAACACTGTCAGTATTGTTGAACAAATTGGTTGAGTGAATGAATCAATGACTCATTCATAAAGGCAGTGCTTTTTTCGGTCTGTTTTGGAATTAATCGGTTGAGTGAATAAATCAATGACTCACTCATAAAGACACACACTTGTTTCATTTTCAATTGGTTTTGTCATAGAAAACAAGACACAAATACTCAGGAGAACATGACTTTTTGCAGTGTGATTAAATAATTTGTACAATTAGCCTATATATACACGCTATATCGTTAGAGAGAGAGAGTGTTACATTATATCGATAATCTGTTGATGAAAAGCATATATTGGTTGACCACTAATTTGGAATATGTTTCTAGGTGGTTGCTAGGGTTTATTTGTGGTTGCTAGGTGTTTTCTTCCGGTCTTGTGTGCAAAGAATCCTGCACCCTATTGTGCGTACAGTAATAGTTAAGCATCAGCTATTGGAAATGTGCTTCTATGACGGTTATGGTCTGGTACTTTAGGCATGAAGTGGAAAAATATGATTTCAGCAGTGACCTTTTCAAATTAAATAACTTAAATCCTGAAATGCTCATGCCGTTTACTAAAAATGGGGCACACACATCTTTACCTTTACCTTGTGTGATCAGTGCCCTTGATAGTGATCTGAAAGGACATGAGTGAATTGTGCTGGCTGGGTTCCAGCGGCTCCATGCGTCCCTGCAGAGGTTTGGCCGGCATGTGCGAACAGTCGTCTAGAGTTCGGCAGGTTTAGCGCGCTTAACGAAACATATGCTGCATGGTAATTAGGGCGATAATGCGCCACATGCCGACTCTCAAGCACTTCACAGACCACCATGCCTCTTCCTCCGGCTCTCTTCATTTCCCATCACACACTCTCACTCTCTCTCTCTCTCTCTCTCACACACACACACACACACACACTCACACACACTCTCACACAGTTACAGCAGGAGTGAGTCAGTTTGTGTGAAAGTGAACCATGTGGCAGTTAATTACTTCAACTAGCTCTCACCACACAGAAACGTATGAGCATAAATATTGATGAAGTGCCGACAAAAATATGTTTCCCGGTGTCAACAAGCAGTTTTCTGCACAGGCCGGAGCGCTGGTGTTTCCTCAGCTTCACACCAGCGCTAATTTCCCTTCGTTAGTAAACTGGTGTGATTATTAGTATGCAGAGGAGACACTGACTCATTCAGCCGTCATATGAATCATCTGCTCTGCAGTCCAGCCTTGTGCTCTTCTGACTAAATCCTCTCGGATTTCACTAATAATCTCAGGACTAGCTGAGCGAGTCGTTTCTGAAGTTTGATTAGAAAGTGAGGTGAAGCAGATAGATTAGTTAAACACTACCATACATCTAGTTTAATGCTGTGTAATAGCCTCATTGGATATAAAATAATTTTAGCTAGAAATACTCTTACTAAATATACTGTATATGGAAGCATTACATTTCAAATGCAATATGCAAAATACAAATATTATATGTAAAATTTGTGTATTTGATTTTATATTTCCCATAGCCATTTGTGTGACGTCTGGTGCAAAATTGTAAATTCAAACGTAATAATTTAATTTGCATTTTTCATTTCCTTCTCTAGAATTAACATTTAAATTAAATACACAGCCGAATGCATTCTAATTAGAAACATTCAAACTGAAATGCATTTGCAGAAATGGAGGAATATTTTTAATTTGTTTATAATTTGTTCATGCAATAATGGTGGATTTTTCCTTAAATGCATTTACACTCTCAATTAAGTTATATATGTATTGAAATTGTGTTTGCATGCGTCACAATGAATGTATGTGGACTTACAAATGCGTTCTGAGGTGATTGCATGCATTAGCATGTTCACATCCTCACCTGGCATTGCCACTTTACATATTTTAATGTCATTTTGCATATTGCATTTCAAATCGAATTGACCTAGCTTTATGTTTCCATAATCATATATTCTTTAATACATTCCAGAGATATTCAGTGTCAAAATTTAAACCGCAGCAGAAACAAACAGCCACAATTATATATATACAGTATATAAAAAAAAGATTTACAGTATGTATTTGAATTGCATGTAAATTTTCCATGCATTTGGATTATATTGTTTTAACATAAACAAACTAATAAACTTAATATGATGCATATTTGTCAGCCATACATAAATGAAACGGGTCAGATTTCTACACTCACAAAATCATGGCATAGCTGCTTATTAACTATTTGCATCTATTTGATTTTAGTTAAAGAATCACAATTTCAAAATGCACTTATTCAAATTGCTTTGAATCAACATAAATCTGTTCATTATGAAAACAATTAAATGCATTAAAAAGTATGAACATGGTTAAAATATGACTAGCTGTGAAACAAGCAATATTCAGTTAAAATGTATGAGATTCAAACAAACTGGATTTATTGATGATAAATATATAAACCTGGTTATTGTGTATTTAAAGCACATTCAGTTTATTAGCACTATTACAGTAATCTGACAGGTTTCATTTATGTAAGACAAACATGCATCACATTAAGATTATTAGTTTATGTTAAACAGTATAATACAAATGCACGGAAATTTATATGCAATTCAAATACATAAATCTCATATTTAGGCCTAAATATTGTTTTTCCTATATGCAAATGTAATATTTGTACGTATATTAAATTTCGATGTATGAAATATATTTTTGGTCACACTTTATTTTAAGCTCCAATTCTCGCTATTAGCAAACCATTAACTATGACTCAATAAACTCATAATTTGCTGCTTATTAATAGTTAGTAAGGTAGTTGTTAAGTTAGGTATTAGGGATATAGAACATGGTCATGCAGAATAAGTGCTTTAAGGTCTAATAAACAGCCAATATATTAATAATAGGCATGCTAATAAGCAACTAGTTAATAGTGAGAATTGATCCCAAGTGTTATCCAATTTTTATATATTAACATATCTAGCCCATACAAATATGTATGTTTATGTATGTGTAAAACATTTTTGGACATGTATGTTCATTCTAAAACCTGTCAATACATGTTGATATTATTTATACTTATAAGTAAATATATACATGTATTTAAAAAAAATTACAAAAACATATAAACATACTGATTTCTTGTATATATGTTGTTTTAATAAACTTGCAAACATGAATAAAATATATATTGTTGACATAAAAAATCATTATGTAGATATTATTAACATATGTACATATACAAATTTTACTATGGAGATTGTATATATGCTATAAACTTATATCTTCATCTAGCCAGAGAGTGTGCATATGTGAAAAAAAAAATATATGGCCTTATAGGTAACATATATGGTAATGTCATTCTATATATAGAGCTGTATGTCATATTATATATTACATTTCTGTATGGTGAGTGTAGAAACTTATGTAAAACAGTTCTTAAAGTGATCGAGGACTCACGGTTCTCTCTGTGCTGTATTTGCTCATGTGATATGTTTGATTGACAGCTGTCACAGTGTGTCAGGTGAATATGAGGACACTCAGGACTGCTTGTCATGTGCTCAGGCTCTCGTTCCTCCTCTCTATTTTCTGTTGCTCATTCCAAGAGTCGTTCCTACAGGCTTGTGATGGATTTCTTGACATTCTCGTTCTGATTAGGTCGCTCAATTAATCGCTGCTCTCTCCTTGTACATACAAACGGTGCTGCTCTACTTTACGAGTGGAACCTATACGGTAATGTTGCTCTTGGCAGCGTGGAGATCCTCTGGCGAGAGAGATGGGAACGGCCCTGTCTGACTCCACCGGCCAACCAAAACACACACACACACACACACACACTCACTCACTCA